GATGGCTAAATTGGTTAACGTGGTTGTAGGAGGGGGTGTTAAATGAGTGAACACGTACACACGTATGCGAAAGGGCGGCGCTGGTCGAAGGGACGTCGATCATTGTGTTTGTGGATTCGTTGGAATTCATTTCACCGCGACCTTGGACGTCGACGCGCCGTACAAACCAACCGACGAGCGGCAACTGAGCGAGCGAGCGCCGACCTTGAGTATAGATACAGCACGACGGCGCATGCACTGTCAGCTGTTGAATGTTCTCGAAGCGCGACGCCACATGCGCGTCCACTGGAGAATCAGGGGAATTGTAGATGTCGAACGCGGTGTGTAGAGGAGGAAGGGTGCACAGATGGTGGAGGAGTGAAGCGCGCGCGGTGTGTAGAGGAGGAAGGGATGCACAGATGGTGGAAGAGTGGGCGACGGCGCGACGGCGCATGCGCGCGCGTCAGCTGTCGAATGTTCGAGAAGCGGTGCGGACGGCGCACTACAAGGCGCGAGTATAAGATGCTCCGCATCTAAAAATAGGGCTCTACATCGCATGGTTAAACTTTCTCAAGCGGATACTGAAGTGAATCCTCGTCGCAGAAAGCATCGTAGAACGCTGCTGACGTGCCGTATCATGCCTGTGTATCCCAAAGGGCTGGCGCTTCTCCACGCACTCAGTGCACTCACATTTCGTAACATGTCTGACTGCCTGCATTAGCTAAATTATTGTGTCATAACAAAAGCCGCACGTTTCACGTCGCGAAATGCCGTTATAAAGAAGGGGCGCCATATCATCGCACGCTACCTACATTCATCCCGCTGGTGTAGAAAGGTCGTCCGAACTTTCTTGAGGGTCAGTAAAGGCTTCGAGCAGTTGAAGAAGCAAAATATCTAGGGTTGAGTGCGAACCGTAGCGCATATGCGTGTTTCTGCAATTCTTTGTGGTGTCATTTGAGAAATCCACTGCATTGGTTAGATACTTAATGCTACCATCTCGTCCACGCTGCTGTATTGACCAGATTATTTTTTCTCTTGTATCCACGTGTAGAGCAAGTGTACTTAATCCTGACCCCAGTTAGCATCTTTCGGCATAGGGGCTGATAGATAGTTACGTCATCGCAGCTGATGACGAGCGAGCACTATAGTGGTCAAGATGTGATAAGAACAGGATCCATACAGCGTACTTTTCCGTTCCACGTCATCAGAGGCCCCTTCAGCACACATGGCTAACCCCTGCGAGCGATGACAATTCTGGTTTATTCACGTGTTATGGAGTGCAGATTGCGTGTTTATCGGGTGCTGACCTGCTGGTCACGAAATCAAATACCGACCGCGGTGGTCGCATTTTGATTGAAGCGGAATGCTTGAGCCCACTGTGCTTAGATTCAAGTGCAGCTCGAAGAACGCCAGGTGGTCAAAATTTCCGGAGCCCTCTATTACTATGCTTCTCTTTATCATATGGCGGTTTCGAACGCAGAACTCCTGCAACTATTATCAATAGGTTTTGGTAATCATTCACGCTGTTGGTGGGATGTGATGTAATTACTGTATGTCTATGTAGCTGATAAAAGTTCTTGCATTTGTGAGACATCTTCGATGCACCTGTCTGTCGATGTACTTTCTATCATCGACGTGCCTAATGAAAACAGTTATACTTATAAAAAAACGAACAAGATAAAATTTGACGCGAAGTAATGCCCAGCATTTTTTTTTTCTTTCGGCAACGACAATATTGCGCGCAGAGTTTGTGAACATTTTGAAAGTGTCAAAGGGTCTGTCAACATGCTGCGACTTTTTTTACACCCCCCAAACAAGCTCGCGAGTATTTCTTACGCTTGACCGACGTCCTTCCATGCGCAGTGACGTCAACTCGCTGATCGGTGACGTTTAATTCATTACTGTTTGTGTAGACCTGGTTTAGACCAATAGACGACCTGCGTGCTGCGTCACGTTGCCGATGGCTGAGTTCATGTCACAGCTCGTGGAATGAAGTTGGTCAAGCGTAGGAAAGATGCGCGAGCTTGTTTCGGGGGGGGGGGGGGGGGTGTAAAAAAACAAAAGCCGAAGCCTGTTGACTAGCCTTTTAAACGTCACACTTGTATCGAAAATTTTTGTCAGATTTGTATAGTGCGTCGCATCTATGTTGAAGCAACAATCGTATCTTTGTTCTCAGTACTGGATGACACGAGGGGGTTATTCTTCATTTGTAAATAGTAGTAGTACCGCTCGTGAAATGACGTGCCTGTGCTAACAAATTGGCCTCCTTTGAGCTTACCCACGGTTTCTGTGCCGTGGCCAACGGGGCAGTTGTTACTCACCTGATTCCCCAAAGAAAGAAGGAAAGTAAAAAGGAGGGAGTGGCAAGCCAAAACAATATTGGTAGAAAAGAAGCGGCATTTACGAATGTGTGACGATATTGAACGCGTGACCACGCAGTTGATGGTATGCCTTCGCTTTCGAAAGGGACATAACCAGAAATCTTTTTCCGGGGGTGCAGACTCAGCCATGCTTTGTTTACGCAAGCAAAATTTCGGAAAGGTTTGAACGCTCCCACCTCCCTGGCTGCGCCACTCCATGTGGTGTATGTGTCATGCATGTCTAAATCATGCCCCGCCGTGGTTGTCTAGGGGCTAAGGTATATTCGGCTGCTGACCCGCAGGTCGCGGGATGGATTCCCGGCTGCGGAGACTGCATTTTCGATGGAGGCGAAAATGCTCTATGCTCGTGTGCTCTGATTTGGGTGCACGATAAAGAACCCCAGGTGGTCGAAGTTTCCGGAGTCCTGCACTATGGCGTCTTTCATAATCATATGGTGGTTTTGGGACGTTAAACCCCACATATCAAACAAATCAATCAAATGTTTAAATCACCAACAATATGCATCATGCGACATTTTATAGCTTTGGAAAACATGCTAGGAAATGTGTGTGAGTGTGTGTGTGTGTGTGTGTGTGTGTGTGTGTGTGTGTGTGTGTGTGTGTGTGTGTGTGTGTGTGTGTGTGTGTGTGTGTGTGTTTCACCTGGCACCTTTCCGGCTTATCCTCTCGCGAGAAATTTCTTTTTTCACATGGGCTCACGCAACTTAATGCTCTTTGATTTACGTTTTACTCAACATCGCGCAAACCGACAGTAGGATGGGAGGTGGTGCTAAAATATGTGGTGAAGGCGCACCGTTACGCTTTCTTCTCAGATATAATTGAAGAGTGGAACGGGTTGCCGAGTAATGTTGTCAATCCTAGTGGTGGTAATCGGAGTTTGTGCACTTGACATGCATTAGCGTGACTTACTGTAAAGACTATTGCGATTATCTTTTCGTTTCGATTTTGGAAAGCTTTTATGGATTTGTATAATTGTATACCTGGTTTATCGTTGTGAGATGTATAGTTATGAGGATACTTTGTTTGTACAGATTGTCGTATCTTCCCTGTGATGATCGTCAATAGATAGTTGACAGTACTTCTAAATAAATAAATAAATAAATAAATAAATAAATAAATAATAATTTACAAATAAGTGAATCATTGCCCAAATAAGCTACATCCAAACGAAGACCCAAATAAAGCACCTCTAAATTCGTAAAACCTGCGTTACACTGTTTCTTTTGCATAAAATATATTCGCGCTAAAAGCTACTGCTTGTTGAGCTAGGAAGAATACATATTTTATAATTGAGGAATTCTGCATTCGGTGTTGGCCAGGTCAATGCTGAAGGCGGTGATGTTGCTATGTTCCTTTTACAGATACTTTTCTCAAAGCAGTCGAGTAATTCAATAGCTTGCTAAAATCTCTAAAGTAATGTACGGAAAGAGCTAAGGTGCTTGTTTTGTGCGTGTATTATATGCGGTCAATTATCTATTTTTTACTTGTGCTTGTTTTGTTTTGTGCTGTGAAATTTCATATTTATGTGTATGTGCCTTTCATTTTTAAATCTCCCTACAACATTGCTTCTAGAAGGCGCTGTAGGTGCACGTATAAAAAGCTAAACAAACACGAAAATATAAATAAATGAATAAATAAATAAATAAAAATAAATAATAAATAAGTAAATAAATAAATAAATAAATAAATAAATAAATAAATAAATAATGTGTCTTTTCAGGAGAAAATGCACTTGTGCAGTTTATATGACCGCATGTTTAAGTCAACGGACAAACTCACGGTACACGAAATAACAGAGCACTTCGCCTGAGTTGCGACTAAAATTAATTGTAGATACTTTGCAAAACTATAAGAAATTGCCGAAACTGAAAATTCTAATTGTAAAATGAAGAACATCATGCAGCAGCTCGTTGTTTCTGCCGAGCCATATGTAAATCGCACTTTAATGATCCCTCCTTGCGTCAGAACGACGTCGATATCCACCGCCATTGTTATTGATTCCATTGAAAAACAAAACAAGGACACTAATCTACGTCGGTGCGATATGGTGAGCGCAAATGCTTTTTTTCACTTGATGCTGAGAGTTATTGATATGTTTTTTTTTTTTTCATGAACTGTGCGTATCCCAGAGAACGCGACGTGATGCTCCAGGATTTTTGTTTTTAACGACTTGACTAAGTGTCTTCTTTTATGGCCCTTGTGTTTGGGCGCTGGTTGGAGCATGGGCGTTAACTATTCGACGACAGGAAAACTTACTGAGTCTTCAAGTGTCACTCCATGTCACTTACTCTTCACTTTTCAAATGTTTTTTCCTTAGTTGCCAATCTTTGTTCTATATTTTTATACATGAATTCACAGGAGGTCCCCCTGACAGTTTTTACTTTGGGACCTCCTTCTGTATTATATCAACTTTTTACTTGCACTGTATTGTACTGAATAAAAGAGCTTTATCTCTCTCAAAATCGTTCAGGGCAAAAGTGGGCCAAAGCTTTTGCGATGGTCGTGTAATTTTTCTTTTTCGTGCCACCACTGCCCTCCGCGTTTCAGTTTAGGAAGTTGCGCAGATTGGCCTAGATCTGTGTAGGGCAGCGAAGGGCGTCCCACATAGATGAGACTTATATTACTCTTCATTTATTTCAGGAGGAAATATGGCGTAGTCTACACAATCACACAAGCGCCAAGCTTGCCCATTGGTAAGAACGTTTTTTTTTCGATTCCTTATTTTGCGTAACGTCTTACCGCAAGCGTTTGTGAAAAGCGGTGGCCGCTCCAGAGACGCTTCAAGACAAAGCATACCTTTGGACTGGGCATATTGTGTACACACCTATTCCACGTTCGTAAACGTAGGTAGGTGCCGCCGTCATACTGAGGCGCTTGTGGCGACGTCGCGGGTCGTAGGCTCCCCGACGCGCTGTGCTCGGAGGCAGCTTTGCAGCTGCTGTGTCATTTGTCACGTGATCGTAGAGTGCTGTGGCGGGCTTTGGACTAACTGGAGCTTACGCGCTGTGACGTCGCTTCAAGCGCCTCAGTATGTCGATGGCTCCTACCGCTGTTTACAAACGGAATTTGGGTGTATATAGGTGGCCTGCAATGACGTCACTAAAATAGCCATGTTGAAGCACCAACATGGTGGAACGTGAACTTTCTGATGTCACGTTAGTGTTATCAGTACATTGCATGTTGGTTTCTTCGTGCCTCTGACTTGCGGTGGGGTTCTACGCGCTGCAGCGAATTTAGTGTCTGTCTCTCCATTTTTTCCTCTCCTCCCTCTTTCTCACCTTTCCTGTCCCCTACCCTCATCCCCCAGTGTAGGGTAGACCCAACCGGATGTCTTTCTGGTTAACCCCCCTGCCTTTGTCCTTAGTGTTGCTTCCTTCCTACCGTTATTTGTGGAAAGAGACCCGATAACGCAATAGCGATGACGTTATCGCATTGAGGTAGGTTAATAGCCGTGTGATTATACTGCCTTGAGCTCATCGAAGCCGCCATCTTGGAGCCATGTCGCGTGTCCACGACATAATGCGCACGCTTTCATTGAGTTAGAGTTTGACAAAGACGAACCAGCTTACCTCGACTTTGGCTCAATCCAGAGCAATCTTATTGAGGAACCACAACAGAAGAAAGTACACATATTAATATGCAAAGAAATGAGCAGTACGCAGCAGGGCATATGCAGGAGGACGAATTATTCGTACTGCGCACTTGTTTCTTGTCGATGTGTTAGCTTAGAAAAAAAAGTTTCAGCAATGCAGCAGTTAGCTTTTACACTTTCATTCTGACGGGAAATATCAGCTTGTGTTTGTTACGTGCATGCATGTTACGTGGGAAGAAGGGCAGCAGTTCAAACAGCCAAACAGAAATACTATCATGACCTTCGACTTCGCTGCTAAATATGTGACCCGCTATGGCCGCGCATCTCTCAGTCTTCTTCATGCATCCGTTAGCTTGTTTGATAGGTAGCTTATCTAACTGTAGCTGATAGATAAACTATCTTTAGGTTTTGTGCACGAAATCACCGCACGACATACTCGCTCGGTCAAACGTGGGCTGAAACGGAGGTCCTCTCACTCTGGAGGCAGTACAAAAGCGCGTTAGGCGCAGAAAGCGTTCATTGGGAAGGGGGGTGGGAAGGGAGAATTATCAGTGCACCGATTGAGTAGAAATGACAGCTTCCGCCAATTTTAACTTGCACAAATATCAGTTCTGCAGCTTTCGCCATTCGGTTGTCTTAGATGAATGTATAAGGCATCCTGCAAGTTTTTTTTTTTACATGGAAGTGTTTTATGCTGGTGTCCACAAATATTTCAGTCACGCATTCCCGTCACGAAAATGGCGTCGAAATAACACGCGCGATGTGATCGCAAGAAGATAGTTCTGCTATTTAGAGTATCACATACTCTGGACTCTGAAGGCTTTTTTTTTAAATCTGCGGCCGCTTCTATCGTGTTTTCCTGCCTATGTGTAACTTCTATTATGAGCAATGCTTGCCAACTGGCTCAGCTTTTTTTCGTTCAGTTGCATCCTCCGCTTCGTTCATGATCGCTCGACTAATTACATCTTCACAGAGGGTCGGTGCTTAGAGGGCCATGCACCGGAGATTGACGATGTCGCGTCACAAGTGGCCACGGATCATCGCCGCCGCCTGGCTCGTCCACTTGGTTTCGGCAGAGCTAAGTGCGTCATCGCCAGATGACGGTAATGGCCTCACATCTTCGTCGTCCAGTGAAGGAACAGACGACGTCGGCAACAGGTCGGCGGACGGTGCCTACGTTTCTGGTCCCAGTGGCAGCAAGCGCAAGCTGCTCCTCTCTAGTCAGGTCTTCACCTTCCTCAAGGAGACGTCGTTCCTTCGCGTTGAGCCAACCTCCTGGCCTCTGCAGCAGACCAGAGAGATCACCTTTTCGTTCAAGTGAGTATTCCGCTATTCAAGAAATTGGTAGGCAGGAGATGATTGAAGCTTGCGATGAGAAAAAAAAGTCTCTAAATAAGGTATATGTGCTCGAGCCAACATCTCGACAAGTGGACTTGCCTTTTTTAAGGCTGGAACTTCTTGCAGAAGACAAACTCACTTGTGGAGACGCCGGCTGGAGCACTCACACACCTCGTTTACGGATCACTTTACAAGTAATGATAGGAGATCAGTAACAATTATGGTACGACTAGCAAATAGATGTGAAAGGACATCCATGTGCTCTCTTTAAGCGCACGTTATGAGTACCAGGTGGCCTGAAATAATACGAAGTCTACCCTCACAATGCCGTATACCCCACTCCTGCGAATGAGGCCACCAGCTCAGTTTGAAACTCTGAAATGCTTATTTCATTGAAGAATAGCTGGGTCAATCCTCCATGGCTAGTGATTTCTTGTTTTTGAGCTCGCGTCAAAGGTAAAAAGTAACGGAGCGTGATCACCGAGTTTGTGCCGACTTGGCGCAAGCTGGACCACCTCACATGCTTGTAAGTTAGATAAGAAGTCGTCGGGCACATAAACTCTATCAATTCGGCATTGCTGAATGCCACAAGCTCGGGTTGCGACGAATCTGACCCCATGCAGAGATAACCACCCATCTACCACCTTGATAGAGAGAGGGAGATAAAGATGCAAGGAATAGCTTTGACTAATTGCTATAGTTCTCTGGCGTAAAAACTGTTGGTGCCTTGGCCGGGACCCCTGACGTTCCAAGTGGTACCAAGCACGCAGTTGAAATCTCCGATAAACACATATGATATCGGCTCGATCAAAAAAAAAAAAACTCTGACACCTTTATATAACCCGTTGGTTTCTGAATTCGTTACGGGTGCAGATACGTTCATAAATCTCATTTGTTTGCAGTAAAGTACTACATCTACTGTTATTATGTGGTCGTCATCAACAAGACAGTGAGCACCTTTCCTCAGCGTTGCGTTAATGAAAACAACTCCTGTGCCACAAGCAAACGCATCTGCGAGAGAGAAGGCCTTCACTTGAAACCACATTTCACGAAACTCAAGCTTAGTATGAAAGTTCGTCTCCTGCAAGAAAGCATGTCCGCGTGATGCGACCGCGCGAGGTCAAATGCAGCCTGCTGATTTACCGAATTTTGAGAACTGCGAACACTGAACGACATAAAAGAAAGTGTGTGTTTAGAAAAAGTGGTTAACGATTTTGAGTACTTGGTACTCTACTATGGGAGAGCATAAAGCCATCCCATCGGCCTCACACTTGATGAGAAGAACGACATAATTGTGCTACCAATGAAGAAAGTGGGGTTTAGGACAAAAATTATTTACACTATGTACGAAGCATAGGTTATGCGTGACGAATCAGTACCAAAGAGGTTTTAAAAAATTGCTGGAGTGGAAATAATTGCCAACGAGTGAAGCCGTACCCAACGTAATATGGCGGGGGCGACAGCCACCTTACTAGGGGCACGATGAGCTGTTCGCGTAAGAAGGAGCGTTTTTCTCGCTCGCCAAACGAGTTTAACGTAGCCAGCTTTTCGGGTCAAATAGTGCTCAAATTGCATCCTTGTGTTTCTAGTTTTTTTTTTTTTTGAAGCGTCGAATTCAAGGCAAATTTTATTAGTGATTAAGTCACTGTTACTGGTCTTTGCGGATTATCTTATTGGAAACAACTATCCTCTAACATTTAATTCACTTAGCTTCGAGACTACCAAATCAGAACCAATTATTGTGAGTGGGCATCACCAGAAAATATTCTGTTTCTGAGATCTTCGGAGGGCAAAAACTGGCTTCACTACTGCTGGCAAAACCTCGCGGAAGCTTCCACTCCAGCAATGTTTTCAAAACCTGTTTGATCAGTACTCAGGAGTACATTCACATTTTCACAATTGTACATCACATCATCACAACACAAAAACTAACATTTTCACATACAGCAAAAAGCAGAAATCAGAACTGTTTCGAAACATTTATGTTCACAGACGTCAATAACATTTCAACAGAACAATTTTCTTCTTAGACATACAATAACGATGATGACAAAACAGACTTCATTTACATGAACGTGGATGCGAGATGACGTGGAAAAAACATGTACAATTGATGATTCAGACAAACACAGCCACACAAAAACGTGTGTTTAGAAGAAAATGTTTAATGATTTTGAGTGCTTGGTACTCAACTATCGGAGAGCAGTAAGCCGTCCCTGTACTATTCCTAAAACCAATGAGGTTTCGCCCAGGTGTCCAGGCCTTTAGTGATTACGTTCTATTCACACTCGCTTGCGGGAGTCACAGCCGCGGAACATAAGCCGTAACCTCAGTAGCAGTCCCAACCACCACTTACAATGATGTTTAGTTTGTTCTCGGCTATTTAAGCTAACAGTGACTCACATGTGCACGTCACGGGTGAATGTATTATAACGCGTACTGTTTAACGCATTTTAACATTTAGTAACGCGGCGTGCAAACGGGGAAATCGGAAGTTACTTGTTTCACACGTGCGGAAGGAAGATGCTGTGATTACCGCTGTTTCATATCCTGCGAAATATGGTTGATCGATTGATATGTGGGCTTAAACGTCCTAAAACCAACATATGATTATGAGAGACGCCATAGTGAAGGGCTCCGGAAATTTCGACCACCTGGGGTTCTTTAACGTGCACTCCAAATGTGGGCACACGGGTCTACAGCATTTCCGCGTCCATCGGAAATGCAGCCCCCGCAGCCGGGATTCGATCCCGCGACCTGCGGGTCAGTAGCTGAGTACCTTAGCCACTAGACCACCTTGGCCGGCCCTGCGAAAGACGGCATTTTGAGATGAGCGATCCCGGAAGTGAAGATGTGACGTCATCACGACGGCGCAATCACAGGAAATCGGCGTTTGAAATACGGGAAAGGAGACTTTTGAGCTGATTGATTTGGTTACGTTTTAATAAGCCATAGCGCTGATAAGACTGAATTCCCAGTAAGATGGCAGGGCATGCGCTACTCACAACGGAATCTTTATTCCAAAGCTTATACGGCAATGAAAACAGAATATAACCATAAATGACCTAAATGACGTTTCAATCAATTAATCATTCATTCAATCAATCAAACAATCAATCAATTTATTTTCTACTTCAGCAAGTAGAGAGTACACGGGAACAAAAAGTTTACAGATCCCATGTACAGTGGTAATTGATGATATGCGAAGCAAGAATGAGAAATATTGATATGTCACTTTAAAATCAGCACAAGGTTACGAGGAGGAGGTAAATGACACCGTACATGACTTTCGTGTCATGATTATCACGTTTGAATGTGTCGTTTACCTTCGTCTTCTATTCACGTCACGTGCTGCCAAATTTAGTATGTGGAGCTAGTGAAACGACCACGAGCACACTATGAGCGCGGTATGTTGTCATTTTCATACATGACACGCGTGTCAGGATTATCATGTTTACATCAGTTATATATTTCGTCATCCATTTACGTTATGTAACACCGAATTCGGTATAAGGGGAACAAGCAAAAAGGGCACGAGCGCATCATGAAGGGCCCAATATACTCCAATGTAGCGTTGACGTGTGCGCACGCTGGGCACAGCGACGCTACGTTAGCAAGACGCGAGCACTCACTCTATAGCCTGATGTCAGGCGCGATCAACGTCCGTCGGCGCGGCCCGACAGCAACCAGCGCGAAATGTGAAATTCTGCATTTCACGTTAATACGTTACCTAAACTACACTGTGTCTCCCTCTTTTCATGACGGAGGGACGCCGGACGCGCTGAAACGCGCATGCGTCAAAACAACACAGCGCGGCGCGGCGCGCAACATGCAGCGAGCATAGGGCAGGACTGGCTCCTGGCGTGGCAACGCCGGCAGTGACGCGACGAAATGAACGCCGGCAAGCATGCGTACTGCATCACGTCGAATCGTATTGGCGCCTTGACTGTGGCATGTAGTCATGTTCTTGCATGACACGATTCTCATGATTATCATGTTTGCATCAGTCACATTACCTTCGTCATCCATTGGCGTCACGTAATACCGAATTTGGCATATGTGAAGCCAGCGCAACTGGCCTGCGAGTGCATTATGAGTGTGGCATGTAGACATGTTGTTACATGACCCGCATGTCGTAATTATCATGCCTGGATGTGTCATTTACCTATGTCGTCCGTTCGCGTCGCGTGATACCGAGTTTGATACATGTGAAGCTATAGCGAAACGGCCGCGAGCACATCATGAGCGTAGCAGGCAGTCATCTTGTTACATGACACGCATCCTAATGATTATCATGTTTACACCAGTATCATACCTTCGCCATCCATTCACAGTACCGTAATAACATATTTGGTATATGTGACGCTAGCGAAACAGCCGCGAGCATATCATGAGCGTGGCATATAGTCGTGTTGCTACGTGACATGCATGTCATGTTTTTCATGTTAGGGTCTGTCGCTTGTGTTCGCCATGCAATCATGGCATACTATACTGGTTTTGCAACATGCCATGTGAACGAAACCACCGCAAGAGCTTCAAGACCACGAAATGTAAACTATGACATTTATGACATACATGTCAGGATTTTCATGTTGTGACTAGTCAAATATGTTCTTGATACAGTCACGTTATGCCATACCAAGTTTGGTATCTATACCATTATGGAAACGGCCAGGAGAGCTAAAATTCCTAGCTAGCTAGCTAGCTAGCTAGATAGATAGATAGATAGATAGATAGATAGATAGTAGATAGATAGATAGATAGATAGATAGATAGATAGATAGATAGATAGATAGATAGATGGATGGATGGATGGATGGATGGATGGACGGACGGACGGACGGGCGGACGGACAGACAGACAGACAGACAGATACGCTCAAAGTCGCCAAGTTTGCTAAGAAATGCTTCGCATTTGAAAGCTCCTGTGAGCTTGACAAAGCTTCCCAGCCGGTTACTGTTCAGGGAGCAGTGACAGCATACAAAAATTTGGTGTACACAAATAAAAGCACCAAAAAGCATACGTTATTCCTACACTTATTCACACACAAAAGAAGAAAAAAAACGCTGCACGTACATGCAATTTAGCAAAAAAAAAGAAGAGAGAGACTACTTCATCAAAAACAAAGCTGGAAAGTTATATTTTAGTTATCGCACGAAGAAAGCGTGCAGTGCAGGCCAGCAAGATGAAATACAAACACCATTTTTGCGATAAATGGTTTAATACAGAGGCCAAACATATTCGTAGCATCTGGGCCCCATAATTTGTGTGTGGCGTTCTTGTTTCAGATGTGCATGCTTACTTTACCGGCCCCATTGTTTTACTGTGCCTGCGTGAAGTGCTTCACGAAGAGTGGGCCAAGTCAGGAGACACACTGTCCATTTGCCCCTTTTGTGATCATTTTGTGAAGATGCCCAAATAAATAACGAAATGAAATGAAAATTAAAGCCTGTGCCATTCAGACACATGATTTTCTATGTGCTCAGAGCAGTCGAGGGCGTGGTGACATAGTTGGCATTGTTTCTAGCGATCAAACAGGCCTTGACAGTCTCTCGCGTATCCTTTTCGCGATTCTTTTACATAACTATAGGTACATTGAATAGAGCCCGGCAGCCACAGTCATTGCAATGCACTTATTCATGCCCTTCGATGTAGCAGTTAAGTTTATGCTTGTGCTTTGTGAGCTTATTATTCAGGCCTGTCCACCCGATATACCCTTTGCCGCAAGAGAACGGGAATCGATAAAGCACACTTCGTCCACAGGCCACGAAAGAGCACTGCATGATGCCGCTTCACGCAGAGTTTCTTGTGAAAATGGTCCGGGCTCCACAAAAGCACATTAGTTTTTGTAGATATTAAAGCACACATCTACTTCCGTTTAGCTGGCCACCGTCTCTATGTTGTGAGATAACACGTGCATATATGGCGCGGATGATATCTTTAGCCTTCGATGACATCGCCTGCACGAGCTTGCTGCTTCTTTCAGCTTCCTTAAAGCCTGCCCCGCCACTCACAGGAGCACGTGGGCAGGGTAACCTGCATCTGGCTCTTTTTTAGGGGCAAAGCTCTTTGAGCCGTGAGTCGTACGTCCCGTGTTTGTGCAGTAGTAGCCACCTCCAGTTTAGTCCTTAGAATGTCTGCTGGATGACGGTGGTTGTATATGATGAATATACGATGAAAAGATGCGAGATGGTGGTAATTGAAGTGTACATCAGACGGACGGATGGATGGATAGACATACGGACAGACGCACCCACGGATGGACAGACATTAGATGGATGGACAAACAGACACACAGATGCACGAACGGACGAACAGATGCATGAAGAGGCGCACGAACGGATGCAAGGACGGATGCAGGGACCGATGCATGGACGTTTCGCTTTAATTATCATTATTCAGTCCGTGGATATGCTGTGATTTTGTTTTTTGTTTTTCTAGAAGAGCTGACTTCCATTCGGTGAGGGCATGACTTGCGTTGTGCATTAACGAAACGGAGGTTAGCAATTGTGCGCTTCACTAACTTGGAATACATGAGAACGTTCGTGTTACATGGCACACACAAGCGCGCACATGAGTAGTGCATAAAAAAAGATGCTCAAGATTACTCTTCCTGAGAATATATATATATATATATATATATATATATATATATATATATATATATATATATATATATATATATATATATATATACGGCTTGAGGATCTCAAAGTGAGACCAATTCGCATTGACCCTGAGAGCAGCCACTGCTCTTGAATGAATTGTGAATGAAATGTGTTCTTCTTGGCTGATACTTGTCCGTTGCTCGATTCAGTGCTAGTAAAAGACAATCGTTTCAGACACGCACATGACAGATCATGAATTTAACTAATGCATTAAGCGAATTTGCTGACACCAAGGCAACAAAGCTACAGAGGTAGAAGTACAATGCTAACCTGTTTCTTATATATGGTACATGCAATGCCAACATTCATAAAAAGATATGCATATAAAAGACGTATCGGTGCATTGTCTACCGAAATGCGTATCCCATTGCAGAAATGTATTGTAGCAGTAATTCAATTGAATATAAACTCAGGAAAGAACCGGGACACACACACACACAAAAAAAGGTAGGATCCATTAAGCCAGTTTGCATTCTTAGTGTGCCAAGAACTCGTGGTGAGAACTTATGTTGACTTGAATAAAGATTCCTTTTTTCGCCGAAGTTCCGTCGACATCCAACTAAACTGACCGGCATTTATTGTTTATATTTGTACACTTTTGCAGAACCCAAAAGCCGCACGGACTGCTCTTTTACCACCTGCTGGAGGAGTCATCCGACATGGACAGTGTGCCAAACTACGAGCTTTACGTCATGCTAGAAAACGGCAGGCTCAAAATCATACACATCCTCAACACTGAGGGCAACGAGATCTTCTATGTTGGAAAGGGTAGGCTGATAAAGTCATTGTAGCTTATTTAGGACACCATTTTGTTTTCAGTACGGGTAAGATAGTTGTTCTGTTTCGCAAGGGTTTAGAATGACGCTAAATGTAAGCAGTGAATTACTTTGGGTTATAAATTGTCTTACGAGAATTCTGATGTCATTTATTTCCCCATCACAGAGTTAATCGTAGAGGAGAAAGTGAAGATCAAAGTTTCATTTTTAATTTCCCGCTGAAACTTTTCCGGGTGACCTCACAGATTTCAAAGTATAATGGTCGTAGTTCGGCACTATTGCTTTAACAAGAGTGCCTCAAACGTGGTGTCATGACAAGTCTTTGACCCACTAGAAGAGCAATGTACTTCACTTTTTACCTATTAGAAACTGGGTAGTCCCTTGTAGGTGCCGTATAAATATGTGACATCACGACGAATGGTGCGGCAACTTCAAGATGACACTACCACCCACAATTTTTTTTGTGCGCCTTCTCGCCTACTGTCCTCTGGCAGCAGTCGAGGTGTTCTTCGGTATGATGAACTGACGCATCACGTGCCTCGCAGGGCTCACCCGGGACAGGTGGCACACGGTGACGCTGCGCGTGACGCCCTCTGAAGGCGAGATGCGAGTGCGCGTGGACCACGAGGATCTGAACATCAAGCTGTCGTCGCTGGTGCACCGAGGAGGATACGACATCGGATCGGAGACAACGTCTTCCTACCTCTACTTCGGCTGTGAGTGTTCAGAGCCATAGCTTTCTGCATGAAGCATATTGATGCGCTGCCGTTTGGCACGTCTCCAAGGGAATGAAATGAGGGGGAAAGCTGTACGTGAATGCAAATTCACTTCCAAAGTTTACTCGTTAGTTGAAACTTGCCTTTTATGTTTATATAAGCATTTCGGTGTGACTTGAGATGGTAAGAATGTACCGCCTGTCGCACGTCGCATGCTGCTCTTCTCTTACATTTGATCCATTCGTCAGCGTTGATTTTATTGCTTTCTACGAAGGAAATGTTGTGGGTTAGCATGTGCTTAAAAACAGGGAAAGCTAGTTAAGCGACTTGGCGTAACGGTTAGGCATTACTTCACAGCGAGCATGCAGTGAGTGGCTCGCTATGGTACCCATACTTCGCCTATATACACACAGCTTTCATTCTTCAAAGAATGTTGTACTCTCAAATAATCTGCTGTTGGTTTCCTGATACCCTTTCATTCGTTCAATACTAAATTGTGACCAGCGCTTTGTAGAGATTGTAAAAATGCCTGTTCGAGATTCGTTAAGCCTACGATTCTTTTCTTTTGCTTCTGGCTCCGGTTGTTTCGTATTCAGTTTATTAACAAAAATCAATATTCATATTCATGCGCCCCCTGTTGGGTAATCTTGGCTCACCACTTCTGAACATCGACTAGAATTGCTGCACTATATCAAGTGTTGTCTGAAGTCCCCCAACATAGCAATAGTGTTGCTGTATTAACAGTGACACTATACGTTAAGTATTTTTTTTTTTGAGTTACAAATCACTTGTGCCATATATAGGCTGTCCCAAATATCATGCAGCTCAGCCTAAGAAAAAAGAAATGGTGTTTCGTGAAGCAAACCTAATGCATATTGTTCCCAGTATACAGTAGTAGCCACTACAATTTTTCAGTAATGAAAATTATTCAGTTATATTTATTATACTAGTAACTCAAAAAGCACTCGCCTAATTATGAAAATGCCAATGAGGCAGATGTGTGCATGTTGAAATGACATCTCACTGCGCTACTTTCAACAATGTACCAAGTGTATACTGATTTTTTCCTGCTCTCAAAGAAAGCTCACGAAATATGAAATGTAACACGGGACTAGATGGCTGCATGCATCAGCGCGCATTGAAAAGCAGCGCCCTCAAACAGTCTCACTTTAAGGCAGGATGCTAAAATTTATGCCTTGAAGTATCCTGAGAAAGATTGTCGTCTAATTGCTCTATCTGCTACGTACATCCTATTCGAAGAAACGCATTGCTTTAATTTTACACAGTCAGGCTCTAATCAGAAAAGAGCTCTGACCACGTTATCAATGAGTATAGTTGGCCGTGGGACAGGGATAATGGTAGTGATTTTCAATGAAGCAGGAGGAATCACTGCAAAATTGCGACACGTGCAGTTAGCACCTGACCTGTATACTCTTGTCGATGCGGAAAACGCTGTCTTTGGCGACGGTAAAGAGGTAGAGCGGATCTTGCAGTAACTTCATTTTAGGGCACTGCTTTATTTTGAGTGTGAAAGCGTAGTCACTTTTATTTTTTTATTTCGTCGTCTTTTTTATTAACAGGAAACAATGAACACGCAATCAGCGTGTTGCTAAAAGTAGCATAGGCAGGTGGCGTTTCAAAATGCGCACAACTGCCTCAATGACCTTTTCATAACTAGGTGAGCACTTCTGGAGTTACATATACAGTTATGACTAATTATTTTTGTCATTAACCAAAAAATTTGTAGTAAATACTGCAATATACTGGGAACTATGTGCACTTGTTTTGCTTGGCATAATGCTGTTTCTTTTTAAAGAAGCGTGCTCTGTGATAAGTGGGACACTTTGTATACATTCCAACCAATCCCGGCAAGTGCTAGATTGTCGATCGATTTGAAATGTCGACCAGTATTTGTAAGAGATGGGCTATGTTGGTCAGCGCATGTAGGCGTAGCTAGCTTTTCCGCTTCTACAGCCTCACGATCGCCTTCCTGCAGTCTACCCGCCGCGGTAGTCTTGTGGTTATGGTGATCTGCTAACCCTTAGTCCGCGGGATCGAATACCGGCCACGGCGACTGCCTTTTCGGTGGAGGCGAAAATTCTCAAGGCCTACTTATAGATTAGGGTGCGTGCTAAACAACCCTACATAGTCGAAATTTCCCCAATCCTCCACTACGACGTCCTTCATCATGTCGTGGTTTGGGGACGCCAAAGCCCTTCGGGCTGTCTCAACTTAAATCGGACCTATCGTTCTTTACTTGTGCTGGGTGCAGCCATCGACCCGAAGAACTCCTCCGTGGACATGCACTACAACACGGACAGCTTCTTCGGATGCCTCGGGCGGGTCAGCTTCAGGCTGGAGAACGGCAGTTCCGTGGACGCCGCGCTCACTGTCGAGGAGGACGTGGTGAGGGACTGCGTCGACCTGTGCGACAAGTACGACTTCTGCCTCAACGGGGGCCGCTGCGTCAACCACTACAGCTACTACGGATGCGACTGCTACGGCACCCACTACGAGGACCACATGTGTGGATACGACAGTAAGACTTCCGACTCCCTGTTGCATAAAACAACTTGCTTGTCATTTCTTTGTACTGTACCATAAGTGCCTGCCATCATCATACTTCCTCTTTCTCTTCCTTTCTTCCTTACCCCTGTGATGATTAGCAGACTAGAAACCCACTTTCTAAGCTGGCCTTTTGTTCGTTCTATTTATGGGACAATACGTTCTTATTTATTTACAATTTATTTGCATACAGTAAGTTTGTTTACTTTAGTACTTTACTTTAACTTATTAATTTTATTTCCATCCAGTTAGCATATTCTTTTGTTATAGGATTGCTGAAGAAATTTTAAAAATCTTTTTTATCGAACAGTTACTAATGCTTACTACTAGACTATGACAGTATATTCATTCATTCATTCATTCATTCATTCATTCGGAAAGGAGCATGAGCCCACTCAAAAGTGAACAAGAAATAAGCACACTCTTCTTAGACAAGCTCATAATATTATAAACCGAAAAAAAAAACACTCACGATAAGCGTGCAGGCTCGATAGGCTGCATATAAAAAACAGATAGCATTAACTATAACAGGAATATGGGTAATAATAAGTGTTTATTTGGTAGTCGTACCGATTCTTAGCAGCACATTGCGAACACGAACTGAAATAGGAGCGCAGTAGAAATGGCAAATTTCGTGACAATGTGCACGTTTACGTTTTCATAATCTCTTTGAAAATGTTGATTTGTTTTCTCGAAGGAAGCTCGGAAGTTCTTCGTTGCGACCCATACATATGCTTCTGTCATCCTGAACACATAAATTTACAAGTTTGCTTACCCATTTTCTACGGAAGTGAATGTGCGCGCTTTAGCAATTGAAGCCTGGTGTTGAATATCAGCAGGTTGAATAAGAACCTGTTGCTATATATATATATATATATATATATATCCTTTTCCTTCCGCTCACAGCAAGTTAGTTAGGCGAGGCATAGCATGAACCTGTCTTAAGAATGCCTTAAATAGATCATGCACCCACAATATCTCGGCGAGCTTCAAAACTCAAGTTTCCCGGCATAAGGCTTCGGGTTTCCCTGAGGCGTTTATCGCTTCTGTTGCTGAGACTATCCTGCGGAATAATAAGGCAGAGGAGAGGCAGCGACAGAATTCGAGCAACATGGATACAGAACGTGAAAGGATAGCCGTGATTCCATACAAACACCAGTTATCTCACAGGCACAAGAAAATTGGAAAACGTGTTATAGTTCGTGTCCTGTCCTCGGCACCATTCAAATTAATCAGTTTCACCAAATACATAGTTTTCTTAAATTTCTCATTTAATCCCTTCTAATTATGCACAGAATAGGGGTTAGTATTAATTAAAAAGTAGGAGAGTGTGCGTTGCAAACAGGAAAACGACTATTGTTCTGTTACACGAGGCAACATTAGGAATGCTATGAAAAAATACCTCGGGTACTGAATCACAGGAGTGCATAGTCATAAAGCGAGCATGTATTTTTGAGTCCCTCAGCGTCCAACACGATAAATGAACCTCTCCATCGAATATGTTAATCTTTCTCGTCCTTTGATTCACAGATCTGACAACGGTCACATTGAGGGGCAACTCTTACATCACGTACCGCATCTACGACTGGAAAGATCGCGTCCACTCGGACTTCAACCGGATCAGCATGATGTTCAGGGTGAGTGCTGTTTGTTTCGGTTACTTTACCAATAATTGCTTTTCATCGTTTTTTGTGTAACCGTAATAACGAAGTCTTACGCACTACCGGGTTACTGCAGACGCGGAGGGTACCAGGAGCAGCCCTCGTGACGTCCTGCGATGTTTTTATCAGCTACAATACTTACGCTTCCGGGTTACGCTTGTGTTTCTTAAAGACGATAGCCTTTCTTGGGGACCTTCGACGCGAAAATTTGGGTCTGTCTGTCTGCCTGCCTGTCTGCCTGTCTATCCATTTGTCTGTTTGTCCACCCTTAACGGCACCGGGCACTTCAAACGGCACAAGTGGATATCCCAAACGGCCGACACCATCTGCAGCGCCCGCCAGTGTTGCCCAAGATTGAGCGTTCATACGTGTGGGATTGTCAAAAAAAGCAATTATCGCACATATCTGAGGCACCATAACAACACCCATATAATCTGTATGCGCATCTTTTACTAGAAGAGGCATACCTAAGTTATTCTAAGGACCGTAGCATTATATTATGTGGTGCTTACCATGCAACGCGTGCACGAAAAGGAAAGTGTAAGTGTTTCAAACGCTTTGCTAAGACGTCAAGGAGGTGGCACATACCCGTCGCCTTGCGTTCTACACCCGCACGCCCCTCTCAGAGCCGCGCGTTTAGTTTCCCAAGATAACTGCCAGATAGCGCTCACATCCCATGTGTCACGTGACTTTGAGCGCTTGTTCGCCTCCACTGCACGCTCGAGGCACTCTAACGCAGCGCCTTCAGAAAACCATTCACCGATTTTCTTGCACAAAACAATAAATAAACGTTTTATTCAAACTCTCCCAACGCAAGACTATTGTCTTTCGACGACATTTGCACATTAACATGCGGATACGGAGCCATTTTTAAATGCGAAGTATTTCTTGGCGAACTTCGATGATTTTAGGCGTATCTATCTATCTATCTATCTAGACGCCTCCGACTTTTAGCTATCCTGGCCATTTCGATAATGCTATCAATACCAAACTTGGTATAGCATAACATGACTGTATGAAGAACATGTTTGACGAGTCATAACATGAAAATCACGACAAGTATGTAATGAATGCCATGATTTATATTTCATGGTTTTCATGGTCCTGCAGGTTTTGTGGTGGTTTCGTTCACATGGCATGTTGCAAAACTGGTATGGTATGACATGATTGCATGGCGAACACAAGCGACGGACCATAACATGAAAATCATGACGTACATGTCACATAAGAACATGACTACATGCCACGCTAATGATGCACTCGCGGCCATTTCGCTAGAGTCACATATATCGAGGACGTGAATAGATGACGCAGGTATGTCACTGGTGCAAACATGATAATCATGAGAGGCATGTCATGTAACAACATGACTACATGCTACGCTCATGATGTGCTCGCGGCCTTTTCGCTAGCTTCAGATGTACCAAACTTGGTGTAACTCGACGCGAACGTACGACATAGATAAATGACATATCCAAACATGATAATCACCATATGCGTGTAATGTAACAGCATGACTACATGGTATGCTCATGATGCACTCGCGCCCATTTCGCTAGCTTCATTTATACCAAATTCGGTATTACGTGACGCGAACAGATGACATAAGTAAATGACACATCCAAAATGGTAATCTCGGTATCCGTGTAATGTAACAACATGACTACATGCAACACTGATGATGCGCTCGTGGCCATTTCGCTTGCTTCGCATATGGCCGATGCGGTATTATGTGACGCCAATGGATGACGAAGGTATGTGACTGGTGCAAGCATGATAATCATGAGATGCGTGTCATGTGAGAACATGACATGCCACCATGAAGGGGCCAATGCATTTTGACGTGACGGGGTGCGCGTGCTCGCTGGTATTCTTTTTATCGCGTCACACCGGTGTTTCCATGCCAGGCGCCTGTGCTGTCATATACTCGCAGACGCGTGCCGCGCTGCGTTACTTTGAAGCACGTGCGTATCAGCGCGTAGGCGTCCCTACGTCATGAAAAGAGGGAAACGCAGTGTTGTCTGGGTAACGCATCGGTGCGAAATGCAGCATGTCGTATTTCACACCAGTTGCCGTCGGGCTGTGTCGACGCATGCTTGTCGCGCCTTGTCACGCTTGACGTCCACGCACGTCAACGCTACACTTGATTATATTGGTCCCTTCATGATGAGCTCGCGGCCGTTTTGCTAGCTCCACATATACCAAGTTTTGTGTTACGGGACCTCAGTGGATAACAAAATATATCACTGGTACAGACATGATAATCCTGACACGTGTGTCGTGTAAGAACATGACAACATATCATGCTCATAGCGTCTCGCTACTGTTTCGCTAGCTCCATATATACTAAACTTCGTATCACGTGACGTGAATAGATCAAGAAGGGAAACGACACATTGAAACATGATAGTCATGACATGAAAATTCTGTACGTCATCATTTACTTCTACCTCGTAGTGTTGCGCTGATTTTAAAGGGACATATCAACATTTCTCATTCGTTCTTCGCATATCATCGATTCGTACTGTTCGTGGGATCTGCCAATCTTTATAAATGCGAAGTATTTCTGAGCGATCTTCAGCAACTTTGAGCGTAAGTATCTATCTATTTATCGATCGATCTATCTATCTATCTATCTATATATACATCTAGCCGCCTACGACATTTAGCTCTCCTGGCCGTTTCAATAATGTTATCGATACCAAACTTGGTATGGCATAACATGACTGTGTTAAGAACATATTTGACTAGTCGCATACATATGTCATGAATTACATGATTTACATTTACTGGTCCTGCAGCTCTTGCGGTGGTTTCGTTCACATGGCATGTTGCAAAACGTATGGCATGACGTAATTGCATGGCGAACACAAGCGACAGACTCTAACATAAAGATCACAATATGCGTGTCATGTAACAACATTACTACATGCCACGCTCATGATGCACTCGGGGCCATTTCGCTAGCGTCACATATGCCAAATTTGGTATTACGGTATGTGAATGAATGACAAAGGTATGTGAATAGTGCAAACATGATAATCATGAGATGAGTGTCGTGTAACAACATGACTATATGCCATGCTCATGATGCGCTCGCGGCCGTTTCGCTGGGTTCACTTATAACAAATTTGGTATTGCGGGATGTCAATGGATGACGAAGGTATGATGCTGTTGCAAACATGATAAACATGCGTGTCATGTAACAACATGACTACATGCCACACTCATGATGTGCTCGCGGCCATTTCGCTAGCTTCACATGTGCCAAACTCGGTATTACACGACGCGAACGGACAACAAAGGTAAATGACATATTCAAACATGATAATGAAGACATGCGTGTCATGTAACATGACTACAAGCCACACTCATGATGCACTCGCGGCCATTTCGCTAGCTTCACATATACCAAAGTTGGTATTAGGTGACATCAATAGGTGATGAAGGTATGTGACTGGGACAAACATGATAATCACAACATGCGTGTCATGTGAGAACATGACTACATGCCACAGTCAAGGCGCCAATGCATTTTGACGTGACGTGGTACGCGTGCTCGCCTACGTTCATTTCGTCGCATCACGCCCGGGCGCCGGTCCTGCCATATACTCGCAGGTGCAAGCTGCGCTGCGTTGCTTTGATGCATGTGTGTTTGAGCACGTCCGGCGTCCCTCTGCCACCGAAAATGGCAGCATATCCACGGAGTGAATGATGAATAGTGGGGCGAAGCGTCCGTCCGTTCAGTCGTTCTTGCTTCCGTCCATCCATGCATGCATCTGTGCAACTGCCCGTGCGTCCATCCGCCCATCCGTGCGTGCATCTGTTTGTGTGTCCACACGTTCATCTGTGCACCCGCCCCTGGTTTCGTCCATGCATCCCCTCCTGCGTCCGTCCGTCCGTGCAGCCATCCGTGCGCCCGTCTATGCATCTGTATGTGTGTCCGTTCGTCCACCTATTCAACATTCCAAGTACCACCGTCTCGCATCTTTTCATCATATATTCCTCATATAGAAGCACCGCCATCTAGCGGACATTCCAAGGACTGAACGTGAGGAGGCACACGCACACCTTCTTACGGCTTGCGCTTCGTGTCTACTTCCCACCTTTAACCACCTCAAGTTCATGGTATATACTAGTTCACTGTATTTATGGAACTGCAGCCCAACGCTCGATAAACCTTTCTAAAACCTAGGAGCTTACGCCCAGTGAGTGTAATGTAGCAACCCTTTCTTGTCTTCTGTGCGTTGTTGAACAATAAAAAGTTCGCAGCTTGCCCGTTAACTAAAAGCCGAACTCTCCTGTCTCTCATTTTCCCTTAGCAGCAATTGGCATGTACATTGAGCACTATCTTTTATTGTTCAACAACGCACAGAAGAAATCTCTTTAACGGCACCATCTTGGAGGTCAAAATGTTGTACTTGTTACGCATTACAACGGCTACGATGGACGAACGGATGTCGTTATAAAGAGCTTCGCCCCTAAAAGAGGAGGACGCAGTGTTGTCTGGGTAACGCATCAGCGTAGAGTAATGTTACTCTATCGCATTAGTGCGAAACGCAGCATGTCGCATTTCGCGCCGGTTGTCGTCAGGCCGAGTAGACGAACGCTGGTCGCGCCTGCGTCAGACTATAGGTGCTCGCGTTTTGCTAACGCAGCGTCGCTGTGCCCAGTGTACGCGCACGTTAGCGCTACACTGGAGCATAATGGGCTCTTCATTATGCATTCGAAGCCATTTTGCTAGCTCTACATATACTAACTTTGGTGTTACGTGACGTCAATGGAGGGCGAATGTAGCTGTTGCAAACATGATAGTCTGGAAACACATGCTATGTAAGAACATTACAACATACCACGCTCTCGCGGCCGTTTCACTAGCTTCACATATACTAAGTTTGGTATCAGGTGACCTGAATAGATGACGAAGGTAAATGACACATCCAAACATGATAATCATGACATGGAAGTCATGTACG